TATCGTACAACCTGAAAGGACCGAGCTTGTACAATCCGAGCCGCTAGCATTTCATCAACCTTCGGAGCAAGCTGGGAGCGCATATTTTCACCAAGTTCTCGACGTCGAACAAAGAATTTATTAAGCCTGTAAAAAGTTTTAGCAACTAGTGCCTGTATTGGCATGCCGCGTGCTCCCCTGAGCACGCCATTGAAGCTCTCAGACGCGTTCGTAGTCATCATACAGAACCGTCGACCGCCATCCTCACATAAAGCCCACTTATCAACATTGTTTGGACCCAAACTAGTTTCGATCCAATCATGTGCGGCTCGTGAAGTGAACTTGATCCTCTCTGTATTTGTTCATAAACATATTTTTTCTGTTGCACAACCGGCTTGCCAAAGTAAGTCTTGAACCTGAGCGTTTCCATACTTCTTCTTGAAGTTGTCTCTAATATGTCGCAAACAATAGCGATGTGCATGTGGTGACGGGAAATGTTGTTGGAGCGGATATGAATGTAATCGGTCGCGTCCCTACACTAGGGATATGATATCTAATGCATGCAAAAAACCAAGCCCAATTCTCTGTATTTTCAACATCAACCACTGCGAATGCTAAAGGAAACAACCCGCCATCCGCGTCAACTCCGGTTGCAACAAGCAAAACGCCTTTGTATTTACCATATAAGTGAGTTCCATCAATGCTAAGAAGAGGACGGCAATATCGAAACCCCTCAATACATGGCCCAAATGCCCAAAATACACTGGTGAACCGCCGGTCTCCGCCATCAACGGGGTCCAAAGATACTTCGTAGACAGTCCCCGGATTTTCTCTTTTGAGTGCTTCAAGATAATGAGGTAAAATCTCATACGAATTATCCCAATCCCCGAATATTTTTATCATCGCCTTCCTCCTAGCATTCCAACACTTGTGATATGATACATCCAAGTTGGTGGCTTTATGCACTAAAAGACGGATATCTTTCGGCCTTAGATCAAGATCCTCCCTCAGATGCGGTAAAATCAATCGATATATAAAAGAAGAGGACGCATTCTTGTTATTCATCTCTAATCGAGGATTGCTACAAGTGTGGAGTCCATTGTATGCCGTGATTTTGAATTGCCCACCTACTCTTGAACCCGAGCGTGAATTAAGCTTCCACGGACACCTCGCATTGCCGTCGTGGTGTCCACTATTATCTTCAACATCGTCATCTTTGCGATAGAAACAAACCACATTATAGCTTGTAGTATTATTTTTGGTTGGCCTGAACTTCACATTTTTTTGTAATGGAATACGTACGAATAGCATGGATCAATTTCTCCTTACTCTCGTAAAGATCTCCCTTGATGAATGAGAAGTCCTCGGCCTGTGTATCAACACCGCTATTAGTGCCAATAGGAACACTTTCCATCGCGGAGTTATCAATCCATTCATCTCCTTGAAGTTCATCGGGCGGCGGATCCTCTAAGCCGACATACTCATTATTAACATAAGCCCCGTCGATGTGTTGGATTTCCCCGTCATCACGATCTATCAAGGTCATGCTATTAATTTGTAATCCCTCCTCTTCATCATCATTCTCGGATTCAACACTTGCATTATCTTCTTGAATTCCCGTGTTAGTATCGAAAGCATTCGAAGTGCCCACGAACGAAGGACCGCTCATGTATTGTGATTGTGTCCAACATTCATCTTGTTGAGGAGATAAAAAGCCTACAGAATCAACTTCAGGATCCTCCAACATGCGGGAATACATTCCTTCGTAGTTCAACGATTTGCCCAAATCTCTCTGATGTTTTTCAATGAACAATTCGACCGAACGCTTCTCGTCGTGTAAGACATGAATGAGACCCATATCGTAGTCACTTGATATTTGAATGCCACTTGTTCTGTTCTCCACAACAGGATAATTGCAAACCACACTGAGGTGATACTCACGTGAGTTAGTTAATGTAAGTTTGTGTAATTCATTAACCAAATCATCGAAAGTACACGATTTTGTTATGAACAACGGTCTCGTCGTGCCTCCTTCATAAACGGGCATATTATTCTCGAGGTAATTAATCTTCCCATCATAAGAACAGAGAATTACAATTCGATCATTCATCGTTACCTCTGAAGAGTGAAAAATTCAATATCAATATTACACGAAAAGCCAAATAAATATTGATTGTTACTAATTTTTACATTTAGGTAGTAACTCTAATTTCCACATTAATTGATAATTTCACCTCTAAATACGCAAAATTATTTAATACGTCTTCACAAAATTCGTAAATAATTCACAATTAAATTCTAAAATCTAATTTATATCATACATATGCAAAAATCTAAAATCTAATTTTTCTTCACAAAATCTAAATAATTCACAATTAAATTCTAAACTCTAAATACAATAATTTTCGAAATTATTGATAATTTTTTCTCTAATTTGACAAAATTATTGATAATTTACACACTAATTCTTCACAAATATCACAAAATTATTGATAATTTTCCTTCTAATTTTCACATTTATTGATAATTTTCCCTTTAATTTTCACATTTATTGATAATTTCCAATCTAATTTTCACATTTCTTCACAAAATTCGTAAACAATTCACAATTAAATTCTAAAATCTAGATTTCTACATGTAATCACAATCAAATAGTGGGAGAATACAAAAATTAGAGGGTATAGCTTTTTTAGAAAGAATTTACCTTTTTTTTTTGCGAAAAAACTGACTTGAGAATCTGACCGGAGCGGCGATCGGAGGGCGCGCGCGGCGGCGGTCGGAAGCTGGCACCGGCGGGGTCGAAGCTGGACGGCGGCGGTCGGAGGATGGGGTGGCGACTGAGAAAGCGCGCGTTTGGGAAAGAGCGCTGAATATTAGGGTTTGCTGTGTCTGGGGTCGGGTGGGTACGCGCTAAATAGGGGCACCAAAATCCACCGGAGTTCACACTCCCCGTGGAGTTGCATGCCACAATTCCAGAGAATCGAGTCTGGCAAATTGTGACTGCAACTTCACGGGAGTTGAACTCCCGTGAAGTTGCAGTCACAATTTGCCAGACTCGATTCTCTGGAATTGCTGACTGTAACTCCACGGGAGTTCAACTCCCATGGAGTTTTAAGCAGAAATTACGCTTCACGGGAGTTGAACTCCCGTGAAGTTTAATTTCTCCATAAACTTCACGGGAGTTGAACTCCCGTGATGTTTCGGAGATTTTTTTACAAAAACCGACCTGTTTTCAGCGCTGGGCTGAAAACAGGTCGGTTTTTGCAATTATTATGAAAAGGGGTCGGTTTTTGCAATTAAATGTGTAAAAGGGTTGGTTTTGAAAATTTGTCCTTTTTCATTTGGAAATTTTCTTCAACCACCTGACACCCAGTCCATTATAATATGACAAGAGATGGGGGAGTTTATGTGAAATTAACCCCTTCATCATTCACACATCATCTCCTCTCTCTATGCCTCTCAACCCACCAACATTAACATTGTTTATGTAGATTCAATAACTTTCAGATCTTAGGGGTGGAAAAAAATGTCAACAAAAAATTACATCACCGGCAAGTCTTATTGACAGTGGAGATCGAAATAAAATACAAATGTGATAATTTAGCCTTTATTTTACAATACAAGTATCAATAGCATTCTGGTTGTGTTTATGATTGAGACTTCTAATCTTGCACTTTCCGTTCAATCCAAGAGAAATAATAAGAATTCCAATAATTCAGTAGCACTTTATTAATTATGTAATGAGAAAGCAATGGAATGGAGAAACTTGAATCCCTTCATGTTCAAGGTTCACCCACCCATCATGGGTACTCAACATAAGAGTAGGCCTGGGCCCCGGCCTGGGCCCCGGCAAGCCGACGAACTCTAATCTTCAACTACACTCACTCCCATGATTTGTCAGTTTGCAAGTCAGCAGACCAACAAATTGGAAAAAGCGTGCACCCATCCACTTGTGTGATACTAATAAAAAAATGGAGAACGCCGGGGCCCAGAAAATTGAACACCATGTTACAAATTAAAAGCAGAGAGGAGCTGGGGAATTAGGCTCCAAGTTCCCCAAAATTCCAAATTGAAGTTCTCATTGGTTAGCTTTGAGCAAACAATTCCCATGCTATTCAGCTGACTTCTAAATCTAGAGAATAATCTAAAAGTTTACAATTGAAAAGATAGAAGAAACTAACACTCCAACTGGTAAAAGGATTTTGGCCTAAGAAACTCCAAGATATGAAAGACCTCCTTAGATATTAGTCTTTTTGTCGAATGTTAGACAAAAGCATTGCATATGTAAGTGTTAATTCTAACTAGGGAACATTTCATGTTGAAACAAAACTTCAGTTCGAAGGTCAGTCTTCAGAACAAGCACTAGTAGAATCTAGTCAAGCGTATCTTGCAAAATATGGGCCTAAATAGGCATGGTTTTGTACAACAACATACAAGTTCCATTTTCCCCTCCTCTTCTTCTTTTTCTTCCTGTGTTTGAGTGACTAGGAAGCTAGAGAGTACACTGACGGAATAGAAAATTTTGATTTACCTACCAAGATTGAGATAGGCCAACTGTAATTCTTTGGTCAGTTATCTTTCTTTAGTTCACGTGACATCTCTCTCTCTCTCTCTCTCTTTACTCATTTTGTATAGCCATAATTTGTGCTTATGCATCCAATGGAACTCGCACTTGTTTTATAGTTCACTATTTGTACAGATATCTAATTCTTAGAAACAAAGGTAAAAATACAGCCATTTGCAACTAAAAATATTTCAGGACCACAACTAATTGATTAGGAAATTTTTGTTGCAGATATCCACGAAGGGCAGTATTTGTGGGTTCGTCCCATTTTGTAAGCGGATGCTGTGTCCATCATGTTTAATTAAGCATCGATGGCGCCTTGCTACAACGCCATAGTATTGAGTTCTTACATGTACTCAAGAATGCAATACAAGAAAATGACTAACAAGCATAAAAATAGAGGCACATAGTTTACAAGATCATTCATAACTGTATTTAGCATCAGAACAGAGGCACGTAGTTTAAAGATCACGCAGAACAGTTATTTATTACTCATGCTCCATCTTTCATAGAATTTTTCCTCTAAAATTTAGTGAACTAAATTAGACGGCTTCTCTAGATAATGTTAGATCTAAATGTTACAAATGTTCTTGCCATTAAGCTTTCTACACATACAAGCTTGTACATATTTCCACAGCAAAAAAGTACATAAATTGATTGCATCAAAAATTCCATTTTTCTCGTAGACATAGCAAGGGATAAATATGGCGCTATACCCTAACTAATAAGCTCTCTTTCTCACTACTGGCTTCCGCACTTCCTTCTTACTGGTCGCAGTTGATGAGCCCAAAGGAGTCATTCCTAGAGCAGCCTGGTATATATCCTTCAACCTGGAGGAAAAAAAGAGGAAAAAAAAAGAGTATAAGAACGACATGTGAAGAAAAGGTTCGAGAGAAATTAAAATGAGATATGTTGATATTTTAATCACCTTGGCATACTGATAAAGAGAGCGATAACAGCTACTCCAACCACCAGAGGGAAAACTGGAGCCGCTGTCAGTTCCTACATAAATACAATAGTCCACAAAACTTCAGCATTATGACCAAGTTACATTGGAGACAGTGAGAGGCCGTGTCATGGCTTTTTTTAACACACCTACACACACATATACGCCCCCTCCCCCCCCCCCTTCCACAAAAAAAAAAAAAAAGAAAAGTCATTAGAATCTTTTTCCACTAAGAGCGAAGGAAAAAAAGCCAATTGTATAGATTTCTAGCTCAATCTGAGGGAATTTGTTTCATTTGTGAGCAAATTGTAGGGTTTTGTTATATTTGCACCCAAAAACTAGAAGATATATTTATTATGGATATATTAGCTAGGTGAAGAAAATATCTCATCCTACATCGAAAATATATAAACCAAGTTGCCTTGCCTGTTTGTGATGTTGTTCCTCCACGCTAAATTTTATGGGGCCCACATGAAGGTGCGGGTGTTTTTCCAAGTCAACCTCAAAGATCTCAGATTCAAATCTGTGGGTATTGGATGGAAGAGCTGACCGGAGTTGTAGAAGGTGCTTTCCTCTCGGCAAATCACGGATTTGGAAGTAGTACGAGAGAGGCAAAGAGAGAACTGACTCAATCTTTGATGTATCACTAGCCGATTTTATTTCCACTGAAAGATGCGGTTGCAGTACTTCAAGGCCAGTCCCTTCAACGTGCCCACTTAAAATGGTTACCTCAGGCTCTTCGAATACAATGAAATCCACACCTCTGATATCCTCTGAGCCAACCTGAAGTGAGGTAAGCCATATAAGTGCAAAAACACACTAGTTTCTCACTAGATCATTCGTATTCAAAAAATGATTGTAGGACAGGAAAACAGAAGTGAAAACAAAGAAACAAATGAGGGAGTCACATAGGTCAAGTGACTCCAAGAAATACAAAATGAGACAACACGTAGATCATCAGTGAAGTAGCTTCCAGTAACACAAATGATAACGTCCCACAGGTCAACTCTGTAAGTAAATAAGAGGTTTCATGTACGATAGAATTCATTATTACGCTTCAAATTTTAATCCATTTACATCTAAAATAATAACTTAATCGCTATGCAAGTAGAAAGGGCCTTACATGCAAGAATTAAGTGTGATAAGTGCACTCAAAAGTTCCTTTTTGTTGTGCACACAAGTTGGAAAGAACTTTAAGTTGCATTTTTATTAGGGTGTAATGTACAACAAACTTCTCAGGCTATTGGAAAGATCATTTTGACTAGCAGCATATATTTGTTAATCGATGTCTTTTCTCCACATTAGGAACGCAACTTCTCGATTTGGTAGTCATCAGAACCAGAAGGTATAGGTAGAAGGGGAAGGAGTAGGCCTTGTTTCAAAGTGCTGGACTGTGCACTTGGAGGTTGGAGGTTTCTTCCTTGATGGCAGCTACATGCAAACTGGCAATCTGATAGCCATATCAAAGTCCAGTAACTAATTTTTTTGTGTAAGACATGGGTTTTGTCCCAAATTACTATGAAAAACCACTGATAGCCATATCAAAGTCCAGTAACTAATTTTTTTTTTGTGTAAGACATGGGTTTTGTCTCAAATTACTATGAAAAACCACTGTACCATGTGTGAGTATAAGATGAGCAACTTTGCAACTGATGACATCATGTGAGTTACTGCACAAAGACTGTTGTACTTCTTCGCTTCATTAATCTTTTGCAATTTGACTTTCAATTGGATCTTTCTATCATAGGTTCAATTTCCCTCTGATCATAAGAATGAATCTAATATTGAAGACATTAATATCTATCTGTGAAGAATGACTTCTTTGATATTGACGTCTTCTTTCACCACTGCACTACTTACTACGTATTTTTAGAACAAACTGTTTGATTCATGTTCTTTTATCGGAAAACTCAATGAATGGCACGCTTCTACAGCTACTATGTGATGGGAAGCAACAAACAATTAACTAATTGATGACTATCAAAACCTCACCTTAATAGCAAAAGACTCAGGAGAAGCCCGTTCAATGCCAACAACTCCCAAGTCATCCTTTGACACAACTTTTACCAGATAAGTTGTCTCTGGAAGAAGTCCCCTAAGACGAAAATATCCTGAGTTATCAGTTGTTGCTTCCTCATAATAGCCTTTGGATTCTGCCCGAGCCTCCACGTAAACACCTTCTTTTGGCTGACCAGACAGTAGTGATACAGTACCCATTACACTGCAAAGGAAAGCTGCGTTAAATGGAAGAAAAGCATTGGCATGTGTTTTGAATAAAAAGGTGGAGAAAAAATTAATGATACCTAGAGACAGTATAAACAACTTTTTAGCATTTAATTCTGATGTAAGCAAAAGAGGGATTTCTTGATTTAGAAACTTAATGACTTGGTTTAACGCGCCTGGGCATAGTCAAGGCCCAAGGATGCTAGAGTTAGTAACCTTACTTATAATCAAGGCATCATTTGTGGTGCGTACCAACTCAAATTCTAGAAAGATAGCTCACCAAGTAATAGATATTATAAACTCCTAGTTGCAGTAGGAAATAGCTTCTTGAAATGTAACATATCAAGCATAAATTTAGACAACTTTAAGTTACGATGTAATAGATATTTTTCGGTTGAGTAGCTTGGGTATGAAAAGACGGTAAACTTTAATTGCCTTCATATACAAAAATGATTAGGTTCTATCAGTTTGAACAGCCATGGTAGGATCTCAACAATGTTCTATTACATTTCAAGAGAGGCAAACCAGCCATGCAGGGAAAGGGAGGGAGCAGTATGAGAGCGACCATCATTTACAGAGAGCACAAGAAAACATGAAGCGTTTTAGGTGACAGAGCAGAGCTTGTAAAAGGTGCAACTTCAATGGGATCTAATAACAGTCAAATCATCATAAGCCGTTCTCCAATTATGTAAGCAAAAGGTACAGGAATCATAAAAGCTTGAGGGAAAAAAAGTTTCTCATATAATGTATCCCATGTGATTAATCACCACAACACAACCAAGGCTTACAGACAGAATGGATGGAGATAAAGAGAGAAAAAGGAGCAAAGGGGGAGAAAAAGAAGATTTTGTCAGTCCGCTATGGCACACCATCTTCACTGCCTTACCAATCATGCAGACAACAAAGCAGAATATCATCATAGATTCTTTTATACTAATTTAGAATTTTAGATTGTAGCCAAGAAAAGGACTTAACTACACTTTCTCCCTGAACTATTTAGTCATATGACGCATGAAAAATTGCCACGGACATGAGATACAGTTTATGGTACATTATGACATTAAAAAACTAGCACACAATTACGATATGACAAAAGTTGTTTATAAATAATCATATATCTACAAGTAGTTATAAAAGCAAATAGGTCAGAGCCTTGTCCTTCACCCTTAGCTCCTACAGGGTGATTTCAGTTGCAGGCTAAAATTTGATGAGTCACTTCTAGTTAGGATGAACCTAAAGTTCTGATCCAATTGACACTATTTTAATATTGAAGAAAAGCTTCTATCAGTTTAGTAACTATATTACATTTAGAGAAAGAAGGACCTTTAGGCCTCCTATTGAAATAAAAATAAGTAGTCTTCTCCGCTCATTTTTCTAAGTAATAACAAAACCTCTATTACTAGAAAAATCAAATTCGGTAGCTAATGAAGAAATCGAACATTCATTCATATTAGAAATTTAGTTTGACTCACAAGAAAACACCTCAAACTAGATTTCTTAATTAGAACTTTGATAATGGAATCCATCAAATTAGGATCTTAATTTTACTAGTCTTTTGAAAAGATAAAATATGCCTGAAACAATTTTATTACGTGGAAAAAAGTACATTACACACAGACTACCTGGTTAGAATTTTATAGAATTTTGAAGTATTTATTTGTTCATTTACTTATTTTCCATCTTTATGTTTAGGTGATGATGTAAAAAATGGAATGTTTACATAATTAATATCTTATTTCTAGATGCATATGACACAGTATAACTGCAGTAACAAAGGAAAATCCAAAGAAAATAGAATATTAACATATCATGTATACAAATAATCATTAAATTAAATCTATGCATACAGCTTACTTCAACAACCATGTTCTTTACAAAGAAGCTCGATAAATCATAAGGAAAAATGCATTTAAGCTTATTCATCAAATGAGCATCACCACAAACAACTTAAGAGTCATGAACGTTACACCAAACAGTGAAGTGCAATCAATACTTTTGAAGTTTTGTAGCTCCGCTAGTACTCATAAAATCCAGTATTACTACTTACAACTACAACCTAACCCAACCCCACCCCACCCCCTCACACCCCAAAAGGGAGAAAGAAGGGCTACATACGTAGCCTATTCATACAGCTTGTTCTAATGCACAAATTTGTTGCAAATAAAATTATAAATGTGTGTGTTTCGAACATGAAATATGAGAATGAAACTATGGTAAAGAAAAAAGTACCTGTAAGCAACACGTGTTGCTTGGAAGACGACAACTTTAGATTCTCCAGACCCCAACTCTATTGCCACTGCTCCAGGGGAAAATGAATACTCCTACGAGATTGACAGGCTCATGAGTGCGCAAGTTAAGAAAAGACTGATTATTCTATGTACATTCCAAATTGTGTATTTATTCAGAAACGTGAACATATAATAAAAAGAGAGAATTTACAGTGGTGGTAAACATTTTATCAGTGGACAATAACCGATTTTTTTGTCAAAAGTATAAGTGCTGATTAATCATGATTCTTGACCATGACAATTTCATGTTAACAACCACAAAGACTATCAGCATTTTCATGACTTACAAACAGATAAGGGGATATAAGTCTTCAAATACAACCACACATTCTACAGAAACAAAAAGTGTTGTGGCATATGCAACTGCAAATATAGATGCAACATCCATTTCATACAAATAGGCTAATAGACCCCATCGCGCCAGTTGGTGCAGACCATTCTCTGCAGCTACATATTGTCCTATGTACCTGCAAATGTGATGCATATTATTATATGAACAGGTCCCAGTCTAATTCTGGACCTTATATGAGCTGATTGATATCGTCTGACGTGGATGATTACCGCTTTTGTAATTACTTATGTTCTTCGATCCTATTGGTTAGTTGATTGTTGCTTCCTGTAGTGTGTTCCAATTTGATAGTATGAAGATTGTCAATTTCTTTTTCCTACCTCAATATAATTATGCTCATATAAAATTGTCACTAGCAGTCATTTGACCCATTAATGTCCTATTTGATGGTATAAGATTGTCAACACTAATATTTTTCTACCTAATGCAATTATGCTCATAAAATTGTTATTAAGAGCCACTTGACTTAGTAAAAGTACATACAATGCTTTGACATTTCAAACATTTTTAATCTTCCCCATAATTCATGATTTTCACTCTATTATCTCACTTTTTCATTGTAGTTTATCAATTTCTTCAATTTTCCTAGTAAAATGCCCAAACCACATGGTTTACATGGTATGTGCCAGTGCACCACATACTAGCACATAAAATATTCTAGCACTGAAGGTGAATATTGTTACAGACCTGTTTAAACATACACTGAATAGAATCAACCAGGAAAACCATTCCTCAAATGTAAAGTAAAGAGGCATTGATAAGTTCGTTAGTACAATACCTTCAATAATGGACGTAAATAAAAGCTTCCAGGAAACAAATTATCGAAGCTGAAAGCTCCACCAGCACCACTAATGGAGTTGTTCCTGTAACCATCTTCACCACTCAATGATAATAGAACAGATGGGAACAAGTCCCCAGCTTCACCTCCATCGTATATATTTACAACAATTTGACTAAGTTTCTGACAAGTAAATGAATTAGGCCCCAACTTTTTAACATGATATCCAGGCTGTGTCAAAAGAAAAAACAATCAGAGGATGGATATAGCAAAATCAGTAAATGATAATCTTAAATTTCAGAGTTTCCACATTCCATTCAGAACTGCAGACCTTGGAAGCTTCAATATTATAAGTTATATCATCATACAGAGGGCCACCTATGAATGAACCGTCAGACTGTGTCTCTATTGCAAATGCCAAATCACCTTCCCGAAGAGGAGCATTACTGCTCTCTCCAGCTGCTACAATTTTTATATTTACACCAGAAAGAGGTGGAGAGACTGATCCTTCAAGATAAAGCCCCATCCGTCCAGTGATTGTGGGAATAGAAGCTTGACAGCCATCAACAGTAACTGATACCTGTCAAGAAATTAAACAGGCAAGATGATTGACAGCCAAGTGCTCACATTTAAGTTTGTGCAAGAACAAACACTGTAAATATACTTACATGACGCTGTCTTGGATAAAATAGGATCTTTTTTTCTTGATGCTCACTGCAAAATCAGAGAAGCACAGATCAAGCATGTGATCGGATGTGTAGATTTTGAATTAACAGTATAACAATTGATTAAGAGTAAAAGCATGCAAATACCGATAAGAAAACTATCAAATGTAAATAACAAAACTATCTCAACCTAACACATTAATCCATAATTTGATAAAACTGATTTAGATGTTGGCCAGTTGACATGGTTGTGACTTGGGACGTTTCATAAAAAGTAGGGTTGTTTGCACATATACCCCCATAAACCATGGGTATTTGCAAAACTATCCCCAAATCTCAATATTTGCGAAACTACTCCTCAAATCATCAATTGTAGAAAAAAAGCCCAAATCAACCAATCATCAACATTGATGAGCTGATTTGTAACTGCAATGTAAAAATTATCAAAAAACAAACTAGTCAAGTTTTTACTCGCATGATTTGTTGATTTTGGGGGTATTTTTTTTGCAAAGTTGATGATTTGGAGGGTATTTTTTGGAAGTATTAAGATTCGAAGGGTAGTTTCACAAATACCCATGATTTAAGGGGTATATATATATAAAACTCTAGATAGTATTGATATTGGTGTTCTAAATGTCGGATGTCTGGGGCATGTTAGATGGAAAATTCCATAGCAAATAGGAGATATCGGGGATATATCGGAGATATTTAATAAATATCAAGATGTCATATTGGATAATGTGTAAATATGTATCATAAATGTTCATAATTGATGTACCAAAGAATGAAGCTATGGAGAAAGGTGATATCTTTTGCAAAACTTTTATAAAAGAATATGGTCTCAGTTGAACCCTAATTCTTCTCTCTGCTATTTATATAACGGATACTTGTTTAGGTTACGACTTGAATTGAATTCAAACAAATAAAAGTCCAAATGGATACCAGCAATTAGGCCTGTCTTTTTAATGCTAAATGTCACCAGATATATCGAGAAATCACGATGAGTTGCTAAAAATGCCAAAAGTGGTAAAGGAAATTGAAACCATAACACATTGCGGCAAGCCTTATAAAAGGACATATCAAACCAGTGAATCAGCCATGTCGGAATATTTAAAACAATGATTGATATTGCAGTAGACGGTGAGGTAATTGATATTGCAGTAGACGGTGAGGTAATGTGATAGCATGAATATGTCATGCGAGTGTAATCAAAGTGTCAGACTCTGAGCCGATAAATAGTATACAAGTTAAGCTGAAGAACTAAAAAAAGAAGATAACGAAAAGATTTAAAACCAAGAAGGCAACAAATGTAAATGTTTATGGGTCATTGTCGTAAATAGATGAAAACATAAGATTAAAAGGCATGTATATGATAAGGAAGAAAGCTTTTTAAACTCAGTGCAATGCAATACAGAAAAAGGCAAAAAAGGATTATGATTATCAAACCCAACAACTGTGTATTACAACTATAGAATGGATCCGGCAAAGATAATTTATGCATACGAATATAATATAATCAAGTAACACAATACATTCTATTAAAAGTTTAAGCTTTTTGATAGATCTCTTATGTCCTTGACCCAAAAATTCAAGTGAAGGCTTGTATCAATACAATCAACTGTGTCAACTAAATAATGCAGCCAAAACCAACTGATACCGCCAATATTAACTAAGAACAACAAATAATATTGATGTCTAATACTAGATAAGAATGACAACCACATGGGTTGAAATACCAAAACTTACTAGATGGTGATATATTGCAGAAAAAAGTAATAAATCAATGTGGAGTGAATCGTCAATACTATCAACATCTACGAATTCTAATTTGAAACTCCTCAGTCAACGTCTAAACTCGATATTGTTAATTGGTAGTTGAAACCAACACGACACGGAAATTTAAAAGTTGGATACGTATCATATCGAATTTAAACAATGTTGATATGGTCCAACTAAAACATCCCACGCCGGAAAGGACAAGAAAAAGTGATGATTTTAAATATGAGTTGGCGTCAACACCTAACAGCTTAAGCTTTTGGGTTAAAATTGATTCCTAGCCGCTATTGAAGGCTCATTACCTCTAGGTTGGACCTGATTACTCCCCAATAATTAGTACCAGAGCTAAGGTTATAGCCCAAGTAAAAAAATGAAGTCCAATGTGAATCATGAAGGCGCCGATAAAATGACTACGGTTAGGAAGATCAAGGTTAGACCAAGTCAAGGATGTTGTGTACCCATGCTGCCTCCCATAGTTGTCATAAGTTACTAAATCCCGTGAAAGATTGGACTATACTAACAAATGAATGAGAAGATTGTTGAGTTTATTTATATGCGAGTATAGTCTACTGTTGGAAAAGATAAAAAAGAGTGACGAGTTTAAATAGGACTTGGGCTTAATGCCTAACAACTTAAGCTTTTAGGCGAAATTGTTTCATAGTCTCTATTGAAGACCCATTAACTCTATGTTGGACATGATTACTTCCCAACAAAACCACCCGATGCATTCCATATTGGTCATTAGAATTAATGGCATAATAATATTGACTAATAATGGCCAACACATAAGAACACCTAAGATTCGAAAAAAATATTATTAGAATGCTATATCAGAGAAAAAATAATTTTTTTGGAAAACTCACGAATCACCAAAATCATTGAAACCCTCACAGCCTAGTCCCTACTTCCTATAGCTCCAACTTGAAACCGCTGAAACTCTTAAAATTTCTAAACTCGATATTACAAATCGGCAATCGATATCGACACAACAATGAAATTAATACCTCGATATGTATAGATAAAGCTAATGTATAGTGTAAATTCTTAAAGTCCCTATCATTGCACTAACAGTTCAAAGTTGTGGTGAGGGTTTAAGGTCATAAGCTTATATCTTAGCATCACCCCATAGGTTAGGGGCCCTTTATGGGCCAAAAGCTAGACTTGCAGAGCAATGTCTTTTTTTAACCCGGTCTAGAAATAATTGGCGAGCAACATTTGAATCAGGGTTGCACAGCTACCATCTTGGCCACAACACCGAAGCTCCGCAGTTGTGGTAAGTGTTGAGGGTTATCATTTAATATTTCAACATGTTTTAAGTGAGTTAGTGTTCATCTCCTTGAAGAAAATTATCTTCTATGCAGATTTTGTTCAACATTAAGCAGTGACGGATCCACCTCGGTGAAAGTGGCGTCGCATGACACGACTTCCTCTAAGATGTCTCATGTATATTAAGGCCCTGTGTGTGTTGCTTAGAGGCCGAAAGGGTTGAACAAAGGGGGTTATGATTGGTTCGGGAGCAATGATCACAAAGAAGACGAGAGGCTGGTGTGTTCGCTTGGTTCTTCACGAGGAAGAAGATGAGGGAACAAGAAGACTTTGTTTTCTTTTGCTTCTCGTTGAAATAAAAATGAAGGAGAGAAAAGGTGACGCACTGTTGGGTTTTTTTTTATCCTTTTGTTGAAAATTTTGGCAACAGATCATCAATGATTATGTGGGTTGTCTTTAAAAGAGTTTGGACTTTTGAGAATTTACTCTATTTGAGTTTATATTGAGAACAAATAAGCAAAAAGTTAAGACTTCAATCTAGGATAATATCATATAATAAGTTATTTGGATGGAAGTAAAGAACAAAGAAAATAACAATACATATTATTGATTAGATGGATAAATACGTATACATCTACTATTTTGATTAAGTTGGAATCACATACGGACGCTTAATCCGAAAACCAGTGGCTTCACGCCTTTGAATAATCTCTCCAAACTCTTCTTTAAACTCTTTTTCTTTATTCATATCCAGTTTCCAAAATTACAATGAGAATAATAGCCCCTCAAATATATAATCTCTAATATAGTTTAAAATTAAGATCTAAAATGTAAAATACATATACTCCTTTAGTACTACAACAACTTGAATTCCAACTAATCTTATTAATCTTATCTTGGTAGAATTTAATTCAAATACAAGTCTAAAATCCTAAGAAAACAAGAATTCAAATATATATAATCGAAATTGGATATAAAAATTTGTCATAAAAATTGTAAATTTTTTAATTATTAATTATGTAGTGACACTACTTACCAAAAATCCTAGATCTGTCACTCATGATAAGCTTGGTTTCTGGGAAAAAAAACCAAGTTTACACCGTTGCATTAAACATGTTTACACTAGCATACTCAGCATGGACACTTAAATAGTGAAGCCATGACATTCAGCATATATATTAGACCATACACATCTCCCAAATTATTTTTGTTCCATGTGCAATTTTCAAGCATTTGTTTTTGTGCCGCAATGGCATATTGTGTGGTGCTTATGTGAGCATATCTACAATCGTGTTCCCTAGGTGAAAGTGAAAAACATATAAAATGACTAATGAAATTATATGCTCAACTTAATTCATTGCATGGGACACGGAGTAACAAAATAATCTTTCCATAACATCCCAATTAATAATGCCAATTATTCTGCAATCTCCTCATTACATACCATGAAATGTTAGATTATTGGCTTTGTCCAGTCTTTACAGCTTCAGTGCTTAACTATTGTGTGTTCCTTCATGTCTCCTAATCCCAGGAAGCCCGAAAATTCTTTTTCATATTTGATTTTAGTCCCTGATAATTCACTCATAAGGGCATAATCTATAAGACTATAACCATTTTAAACTAACACCAATAAAGTTGTTCCTCCATACCAATATTTTTCTATTTAATCTGTAGAGATATGTTAATAAGTCTACATTATTAATTGTTCAAATAGATATCCAAACAAGTGTGTTACTATATTAATTTGTAAATATGAGTTTGCAAGAGGACCTTAACAGTCATTATAATAGTATGTGTAATTGTCAACTAATTGAGGGTATTTTATGTAATTAGTTCTGGTAGCTATTGTTATTATTATATATGTAATGAGATCGAGTTAAGGGTGTCTTTTGTAAATAAAATCCTGAAGGAAAGAAGACCCTAGTTTATTATAAATTGATTGAATGTATTAGTATGTGTCAATATATCAACTAATTTGTAAGATAATTGTATTGATGGTCGTGTATAATTATTCTATAGGGGTTGATAAATGATCCACAGAGGCGTTGAGAGTGGTATTTGGACTATCTTTTGGATATATAGTAAATGGTGAATTTGTACATTATCTGCTCCATATTTTTTTAATATATAAAATTATATTGACTATATGTGGATTTGTTCCGATGGGATGTACCCATTTTTATGATTTACACTCATACTAATTGTTGATTGGATTTAATGCACATAGATATTTGGTATAAGTCTATGCTTATTTTCTTTATCGATAGTCATTTCTTTTTTATATAGTAGTAGGTTGAGGTGCATATGCGGATAATTGCACTATTGGTTGGCCTTCGATATTTTTGTAATATTTAGTTTTATAAGCTATGTTCATTTCTTTATGTTCATTTCTTAAAGCAGATGCATCTCAGGTCAATATAATGGTATATGTCGGAGATAACTAAGTCATCTAAACAGGATTCAATGTGCATCTATGAGGTTTTTATTTTAGCGTTAAAAGCCCAAATTTGGATCTCACCATCCCGAAACCGCTAGCTTAATAATTGTGGGATTTATCAAGTCAATCGGAGTATGAAGTGTTGATAGCATTGAGACGTGACTTACTTATTCTACAACTCATGAAATTTATATTTTAAAGATATTGGATCACGTTTGTGAGTTCATTGATTTCTTTTTACTATTTTATATTTTGCTTAATAAGTCAAAGTATTCTATTTTTTTAGCAAAACCAATGTTTAAGGTATGAATTTATCCACTTACTGAGTTGCGAACTCATTGTGTTGTTTTCATTCTTTTTAGAGACTCAGGATTAGGTGGAGTTCATGGATTCTAAATTCTTAGAAGGGAGCAAGAAATAAAATTGCATATTGCTAATTTCTTATTGGTGAAGGTTAATTAAGTCATCTATATATTTAGTTGTTATTGAAAGTTTTGTAATAATAAGATTTTTCACTCTGGGTTGAGTTTTATTTTAAGTTGAGAAATTTTGTTTATCTATATAAGTTGGAAATATTTTGACTTTTGGATTATAGAGAATGTTGTCGTCGGTTTTAATTTGATAATGAGATTATTTTAATGGTCATTTGATGACTGTAGATGTTTGGATGATATTTTTTTAAGGTTTAGTCCCGGCTCCAATGTTCCTTCATTATCTTGGAATTTGGGGTCGTGACAAGATACATTTATTTTATATGATTTTCCTACTTTTGAGATCATACCAATATGAGGGTGTTCGGGGCGGCTTATTTTTTGGTCAAACTAGCTTTTAAGCTAGCTTTTTTATTTCTACATGTTTGGTAAAATATAAAATAAGTTAGCTTATAGGTCACATTTTAAAAAACTGGTATACCTCAGCTTTTGAAAAACAAACTTATAAGTTCACCTAAATAAGTTAGGTTTAACCAAACAAATTACTATACTACTCAAATAATTGTTGTAATATTTTTATTATAAAAGCCAAAAGTCACTAAAAGCTAGCAGAACTTATAAGCTTCAAAAAATAAGCCTTCCCAAATACCCTCTAGTTCATAGAAAGTAAATGCACTCCCAATAGATGCATCATTATGCAAATGTGCATACAGATAAAGCAAGCAAATGCCCTTATTCAAGCAATTACATGGTGGAAGAACAGCCCTCTCTAAGAATTAAATATTGAATTCCAAGTATATTACAAGTGATTCACAACTTTACCTTGAGTGTCGAGGAACGACAACAAGATCCTCTCCAAGATCAGCCCACATTGTGTACTCAATAACAGCGATTCCACTTTGTTCAGTTTCATCAGGCGCATATTTAGTACGAATAGTGTCAACGTGAACATTATCTCCCTTAAATATGTCAACTGTAATACTTTCATATGAACCTTGAAGCAGGCTTGAGTCGACATGGATCAATCCTCTGAGTAAGTACTTCTTTCCCGTAAGATGTATGGGCTGTAACAGCACAAAAAGTCTTGGATATTAATGACAGAACCATGTAAGGCAGAACTTCAAGGGGAAGGATGTGATAACTCAAAAAAATACAAATATGAAACCAAGAACTATCAAAGATAAGCCCATACTGCTGGATTCTGTGTATTAAACTTCACTGATGAGCTTCCAAAGAGTATGCACGAGTTAACAAAATGCAGTTCATGCTCCCCAGGGTTCTCGAAACAAATTCTTTGTGAACCTCTCTGTAAATTAAGAATAACTAAGCTGAGATGATAGTATAAACGCAAACTCAGAAATGAACGTTTGTAGAAGATCCATCAACGAGTTAACTAAATTTTTTACAGCAAAAAGATACCTTTATTGATAAATCAACACGTGAAGAGTCAGGTTGCTTTATATAGGCTTCCGTATCATGAGTAGAAATTATATCAATCCAATAACCTTTCTGAGTAAAGACAATTCCCTGCAAGTCCTCTGTGCCAACATCTAACTCAACAGTACTTCGTTCCCAGCACCAATTGTCACCCTCAGGCATTGCTGACAAAGGGATGTGTTTGACCTTAAGATGGATCGGATAACAAATGGTATCATAATCAGTGACATGAAGGGAGCCAATAGCTAGGCATTATGTTAAAGTGAAACTATTTACCTCAAGGAGATATTTCCCAGGAAAGACTTTCGTGAAAATAAAAGTGCTCCCTTGACTCAAGGTAATTGTTCTTTCGTCTTGTGCATTGTCCCTCACTTGTCTTACAAGCGATAGAGAAATAGAAGGCCCACAAATCTCTTTGCAAAGTACAGTTCCATGAATATCAACTTGTGCCTGATGGACAGGAATGAATCACAATTCAGAAATATTTAAGTTTTGTTGTTGCTGAAAGAACACAGAGAAACCAATAGGCAACACAAGGCTGCATTTTGATATTAGTCTTACAAGAAGGTTTAAGAGGAAAAATTGAGCACAAAAACAGAAACTGTGTGAAATTAATATCCAAGATGTTACCTGAGAAAACTCTACACAAAGTAATGGGCGATCAACCTTGAGATCAATATATGATGGAGAGAACAGAAGACTCAATGAGCTCTCAGAATTAGCTGCCATAGCAGATAAACGATATTCTCCAGGTGGAACCTATTGAATGAGTTAGTAAATACATTTTGATAAATTCAGAAAAAAGGAGCATCCAGGAGCAAGCATTTATAAGAAATCACAAGCATCCTGATAAAATCTTTTAAGCAGAAAACACGAGAAAGGCTGAGTAGTAAGTTATCAGATCATTAGGAAAGCACTTAGATTTTTTTTTTTAACTCAGACTCCCCTACAAACTTCACTTTCTAGAGGAAATCTGATTTTAAGTGGACTTGGACCAATATATTTCCGACTTTTTTATGAAATATGAACTAAAAGATCAGAAGGGGAAAAATTGCAACTTAGTGAAACCCACATAAGTTTGATTACGCTAAAGCAGATAGTTCGTCGGCTAACAATGTGCATCAAACGAACTTCTTAAGACAACTCATCCCAAGCTAAGTAACAAAAAGAATGGTGGGCCGGGGGCCCAAATTTATCTGGTCCATGCTACACTTTGGTCATCATGTGGGTACATGGCAAAGAGATAAGGTTAAAAAGTGTTTCCGTTTTAAGTCACGGTCCACATACATGTGTAAGTATTTCAATCCATATTTATATACATATATCAATAGTACAGAGGCTGCTAACCCTTAGATGCCTAGCAGCTTAAGCAGATACTTTCACCTCCTGTTTATCCCTCTTTTATATATAATGAGAAACAGGTGAACTACTCCTTAAAATCAATGACACCTAAGCGCACAAAACAATGTCATGTGTCTTATGTTATTTTAACATTAAATTAGAATTCTTAAATGATATATGATGAGTTTATTTTCTAATTTATAAAGTAGTAAACTAGTTACCATATAAATTCTGATTTGATTGGTTTCTTTTTTTCTACAACCCCTACTAAAAAGTTCAAGAATCTTCGCTTACTTACAAATTTATGTTATCATTAATGGATTAGATTTCTATTGTATTATTTATTTCTGAGATTGAAAATATGATAGGCTAGGGAAAATATATCCAGCCCCTCCTTTTGTACCTACACTAAACTTAGACAAATCCCTTTCATCAAAATTGGTGGACTACTCCTAAAGCCATAAAACAATGACACCTAAGCGCACAAAACAATGACATGAGTCATATGTTATTTTAATATTAAATTAGAATTCTTATATGATATATGGTGAGTTTATTTTCTAGTTTATAAAGTAGTAAACCAGTTACCATATGAATTCTGATTTGATTGGTTTCTTTTTTCTACAATCCCTACTAAAAAAGATTCAAGAACTTTCATTTACTTTAAAATTTAAGTTGTCATTTATGGATTGGATTTCTATGGTATTATTTATTTCTGAGATTGAAAATATGATAGTTTAGGGAAAACATGTTTAGCCCCTCCTTTTATACTGACATTATATTTAGACAAACCCCTTTCATTGAAATTGTTTTCGAGGGGGTTTTCATCTATATGGTAATTTAAACTATATAAAAATGTATCCTTTTGAACAGTAATACTCTACTTTCAATTTATGCTTGAAGTGGGTTTATTTTGAAATAAAAGTTATCTAATTTTGAATTTCAAATTTTAAAATGAAAGTCATCAACACCCTTATTTTGAATTTCAAGCTATCTACGGGAAAAAACTCCAGCCCCAATTACATAATTTTGACTTTCAAATTCAAGCGATCTACTATTTACCTCATGCATTATGTTCAGAATGCTATGGGGAAATTTGAAGAATAATAGCATTTTAATATTATAAGTCATAGAAATATATCATTTTTATGCTTCAATTTAGAAGCACGGACATAATCAGAAGAAAGAACCCGTAGAGACTGAAGAAATTAGATTACAAACTAAGGTAATCGAGAACATAGTCTAAGAAGCCCCTAAGTTTTAATCCTTTTTTATTAGAGTCCCAAACTTTCTATTTTTGACAAAGAAGCCCCTAAGTATTGTCCCTCTCCTCTAATAAGAAATCCTTAACTTTCTTGTTGACAACTATTCCCTAAGCTTTTCCTCTCTTTTCTAAGAAGAGCCCATCTTTCTTTCTTTCTTTTTTTTGACAATAAATAGAAAAGTTAGGGGCTTCTTAGAAGAGAGAAGTAAACCTAGGAGTTCCATTGTCAAAAAAGGAAAGTTACGGGATTTTTAGAGGGGGGCAAAACTTATGGGCTTCTTTATCAAAATTAAAAAGTTGGGGGCTTCCTAGAAAAAAGATGTAAAACTTAGGAGCTCTTTAAACTATGTTCTCCAAAGCAATCACACTCACCTATGCGAGCAAAAGCAAAACACTTTTTACATTAAGGAAGAATGGAATGTCTCGTGTTGTGTCTTGTGTTTCCAACCCCTGACCTCTGTCTCTAATTGCCTGACACCGACCTACTCACATGCTACTGTCACTAAGATCTATGCAACAATAGGTGGAGAGGGAGAAAAGGGGATGAGTGTTAACTAATTTGTGTCTTGCATTTCCAACCTTTAACATTTGTCTCTGGTTGCCCAACATCAATCTCCTCTCTTGCCACTGTCTCTGTGATCTATACAACAAGAGGTATGCAACAAGAGGTGAAGAGAGGAAAGGATCAGAAGCAGGTCAGATTTCAGAGCTGTAAGAAACAAGTGCAAGCCCAGCCCCTTCCTATAAAATGAGTCAAGTGCCCAACACATCCTCTGTCTTTGAGATTGTGGCTGCATTGCAGCAACCAGTGACTGCAAATGGGCTGAGTTTGAAGACGAAGGCAACTAACAGGTAGCACTTCTTTCTTGAATGATGAAGTGCCTAATAGAGCCTCTTAACCCCTTATTTGGATTTGGGAAATCTTTTTGCAGACTCTACCCAAGCAGATGCATATGCTTCTCTCTAAAATGTTGATATATAAACAAATATTTAAATACTCTTCTCATGGTTATATAACTTGTGTTATGCAAAAGTGTCTGGAAAAACTTTTTTGAAACTCGCTTCAACTTTTTGAAGGCTAAATTCTTTAAAACTCAAGAGTGAATGTATTTATCCCTTGAAGCTTACACCTCATCACTTAAAGCATAACTGAAGGGTGTGTTTCATGCTTTATAAAGCGCTTCTCTTATGATGCGCACACTTTAGACAAAATAGGAGATATAAAATGATTTTTAACTAACATTAAAGTGCCCCTATGTGGGTATAAATGGCATATATATGTTAATACATGTAGCTTAGTTTATTATGATTTGCATCTATGCTTCACATATTTAATTCTCATATAATAATCGGAACATGAATGTATCTATTTGTAAATTATTATACCACTATACATTATATGTTCATAACTATTATACGCAACACGCTTTGAAGCTTGCACCTCACTTTGGTGAAGTGTCCAGCGCTTCACCTTATGCTTCCACTTTTTTCAACATTGTCAAAATAATATGATTAGAATTTAACTGGATGAAGGAAGCAAAGAATTAAAAAAATAATCGACAGATTCAAAGAAAAGACTTCACCCAAAAGTTCGAGTTAATAAGTTGTAGGCTCCAAATATTACCATGAATAACTATGACAATAAATCTAATTTTGAACTTGACCTAACTTTAATTAACAATGTCATTTTAGCAAAAGTTTCACCACATCCCAGAATTATATTAATAAAGCCTAGTAATCGAGGTTTAGAACCTAGATACATTTTGAGTAGAGATATTATGTCATAGGTATCACCGTATCCGTAAAACCTCGTAAATTTTGATAATATTATGGAAAAATAATATTAAATGAGTTTTATAATGTTTGAGATTACTTTGGGATGAAGGAATATGTTTGACATCGATTTAAGCATACACACACACACACACACACACACACACACACACACACACACACATATATATATATATATATATATATATATATATATATACACACACACACACATATACATATACATATACATATATAATAGTGTAAACGTGCACGTGTGCATAAACCAGTAGGCTGGAATTTGCTGATCACTTGGCATCAGTCGACCGATAGGAGTTGGCCGGTCGACTGATGCCAAGTCATCAGTCGACTGACAGGAAGCCAAATTCCTGCTAGGTTTCTATTTTCGGGTCAGGCAATTTGGGTTCGGGTTTGTTCGTATATATATGCGTATATTTCACGAAATCTCTCATTTTTATCATCTTTCTGAACCCTAGCAACCACCCACTCCCCTCAGCAAACCCTAAAATTTATTTTGGTGATTTTGAATAGCTTTGTGAAGCAAATACTGAGAAGAGGGTGAGATCGTCGGCGTTTGGCGAAGAAGAATCTGTTTTCTTGCATATTTTGGGATTCCAGCACATTTTGAGGCGAGTTTCATCTCCTCCAAGCTCATACCCGTTTTATTTCTGGTTTTATTTAGATTTATTGGATTTCAAACCTAGTTTAAGTATAAACATTGCTCTTTTAAACTATAAGATACAAAGATTTGATCTTTTCGTTTTAAAAAGTTATGAAACGGCATCTTTGTTTTGGATTTAAGTTCTGAAATATATCTAACATGAGTTTACGTCAAATTTCTTTGTTTTGATGAGGTTTCCTATAAGTATGAACATGTTAAGGTTATTTAAATCCACTCAAAATTGATAATTTTGTTTTCATGTAAATAAGTGAACCCTAATCACATTTAATAAATTTAAATATGTGTTTTATGTAAAAAACTCAATTTGAGGAATTATAGATCAAAACCTGCACCTGTTGTTCACCTTCACTTCATGCTCGGGTCAGTCGACCGAAACGAAAGAGTCGGTCAACCGGTCCAAGCTGTGTGCATGTGCACGTTTGTGCACGACCCCGATCGGTCGACCGATGTCAATACTTCGGTCGACCGATGTGATGCTGATTGTGTATTTGTGTTTCGCCACATTTGTTTGATCGCAACCACGGAGTACGAGTTGCACGTAGATCCATGCACGTGACCATGAGTGTACACGTATTTGTGTTTGGCACGCACGAGTTTTGGAGGTGTGTAATCTATCATTTTGAGTTTGTTTTATTTTACGATAGTTGTGGATGCGTGAGTGGGATTAGTCAGTATTCC